TATATATATATATATGAAAAAGAGTATTAAATAACCATTATTCATTAACAAATTAATGTAGCATTTGACAGACCCGAGAGAAATAGGATCCATGCACAAACAAAACTTTGACCCACATTATATATTATCCACATATAAACCTCACTAATGTATTATATTAAATATTGAATAGACTCCCTTCACGGGAAGGGACATTATAACAGTGACCATTTATTTATTAAAAAAAAAGTTGGCAATGGCAACCGACAATGATCAAAGTGACATAAAATTAGAGTACAAATTAATTAATTAATTAAACTAATAAAATAGAATTAAAGAAAGGGTGTGTGAGCTGATTGGATTTTATAGAATTAAAAACAAATGAACAAATGAAATTAGAAGCACAAATCTAACAACCCCACAACTCCACAACAGCGACGAGGAAGGAATGCGCCTGGAAGCAAAAATATGCCACCATAATCGATTATGTGCCATGCATAATCGATTATGCTAGCTGGGGGTTCAGTTTTTCACTGCGGTTTATCCTCCATTCTTCATTCTCATACCTCGACTACCCTCCCTAATGCATAAAGAAATGAAGCTTACCTACAATGGCTGTCCCGTCGAGAATCACTACAGCAACAACCACCCTCGCACGAGCACACAACACACACAGAGCTTCCAAGTCTCTTATAAACGCGTGACTAGTGAGACCCATTCAGCCTCATTTCAAACGCGTCATTGTGCCATTCAAATGAAGGACAAAGGCCCGTGAACCATGACAGAGATTCCTCTGCTGCATGGCACAGTCTCTGCATGCATGAGGATGGCAAAGCTTCATCTCTTTTCAGCTTTTAGGCAGGGGTATTATCGGGTTTTCTCATTTCTTACGTGGCTTTCATCTCTTTTCTTCACAACTTCGCGAGGAATGGCCACGCGGGTTCTCCCGCTTTTATTCGCTTTTCTTTCGGTGCAAATCAGCGGAAACAAATGTCAAGTTTCTTCACCTTTCGTTCGTTGTGAACAGTAAATCCCCTGAAACAAACAGGGGCTAAATTTGGTTACTTTCGAGACCCGGGACCAATGTACGTCAATAACTCTCCTAAAATGTATAGTTATATAATTCAATTTTTTTTATATAAATTAAAATAATTATATTGAATAAAAATGCTATTAGTTAAACGAAAATAGTTTTAGATATTTATTTATTACATGTTAAAAAATATTTATTATATATTTTATTTATAATATAATTTATAAATATATTTATTATAAATTTTAATTGTATTACATAAGAGATTTTTTTATATATATTTCAATGCTAAAATACTAGTTTTCAGTGGAAATAAAATGTGGAATCATATATAGTTAGATTCAACTTTCACTACAACAAAATTCATTTTTATCGACAATTATTTACCGGCAATAAATTAATTGCCTTTGTTTTATTATTTAATAAAAGTATTAGTGACTAATATATAATGGTCACTAAAAATATATTTATATCACACCAAAATTTATTATTAGCGACAATTATTTTAAGAAAAACTTTAGTCCTACATCGACTAGAAATAAGATAACTAAAGAGTATATAAATAAATAATAACTCTCACCTTACAAGTTTGTTATATAGGATTGTGTTAGACCTATAACTTATTATTCTAAATTAGTATGAGATTAATATATAATTAGAAGACAACTTTCATCTTAAAGTCTCACATCAACTAGAAATAAGGTAATTAAAAAGAATATACAAGTAGAAAGATAACTCTCATCTTACAAGTCCCACATCAACTATAGAGATAAAGTAATTATTTACTTTTACTCATCTTACAAGTCCCACATCGACTAGAAAATAAAAAATGTTATAAAAAGATATACACTTTTTTCGACCATTATAAGGGTTTTTACCAGCATTTTGAATAATTGCCGCTAAATGTTTTAGCGACACTGCATACAATGGCTAATGTGAAAATGCCGGTAAAAGATTTTGTAACAATTTTTATTGCCACTAAAAGTCATATTAAATGCCACTAAAAGTCTATTTTATTGTAGTGATTTGGAGTTAAATATTCAATAGGCAATAAGGAAAACTCAAACTAGGCAATAGGATAACCTCATCTCTCTATACCAAAACAGGCAATGGAGAGAACTCAATGAACACGATAATGCAGTCACTTTCTCTTAGAATGTATCCACTTGCACCACCGTAACTAGTATCAAAATTCAAGACAAAAACATCTTTGTGAAATATTTATCCAATCGCAAAGATCAATAACCACTCAAAAATTACACGTGAAAGAATTATTTTAACTGACTTAAAATTAATTAATATATTAAAAATAATAAATAAAAATTATAATTTTAAACAACAGGCATTTACAAAATTAATTTTAAATAATCTTTAAAATTAGTTTTATTTATAAAAATTATTATACGTAATGCTGATTTCAAAAAATTGAGTGTTAAATAAATAAAGGAATTAAAAATATTCTTTAAAGTAAATAACTTATTAAAAAACATTAATCTAACACGTAGTTTTATTAAGAAAATTATACATCTTACAATATTAATTAAGTGCATAATATAGTTTTAGAAAGCACAAGTATAGTTATATATAGTGTTATTTTTTTCTATAAAAAATTAAAATAATTTCTTTAACTATCAATTACAAATTTTATTAATTGCAATTTTTTATATATATCAAACTTAGATGTAATATATTATTCAGTGTAAATTTTTTTTATTTAAAAATATTTTATATTTTTTTAGTGTCGTTTAATAATATAAAATTGAAAGAGAATTCTAATGATCAAAAATTAAAAGAAAATTCTTTTCATAAATAAAAAATAAATAAATTGAATGACAGTTAAAACATGAACATAAAATCCTTTATTTTAAAATCGTTTAAAAATATAAAATAAAATCAAGTGTTAAGATACCTATAAATATAAAATAAAAAGTATATTCTATATTTTTTTTTAAAATATGAGAGACTAAAAAAATTAACTTTTTCTTAATTAGGAGGTAATTGTACTTCTAAACTATCCTAGTATCCCGCGACTCTGATTATATAGTACACCCATTTTCTACAAATGACTTTTTTTTATGAAAATTGTAACAATTGAATTTTTAATTAATCTATAAGAATGAGAGTAAATATATAAACAGAGAGAGAAAAAGGTTTAAAGCGAGGAAAAAAATATTTAAAGAAACAAATATATATATTTTTTATGAAATCAATTTTTAAATCAGTCGACAGTTTTTTAATTTTTTTTTAGTTTTTTTAAATAGGACTATTTTATTAAATAATACAGGTAGGTACTTTGTACAAATGTGGACCTATTGTCCTTTATAAAATTACAGTGGCTATTGATTCTCCTCCTCCCCCACCATTGTTCACGCCGGAAACGTGCCATAATACTTCCAATTCAACCTTCAAACTGTGTTCTTAAAAACATCAAAATCTAAGAAATCACTAAGAATTACACATACTGCATGTCTGTAAATGCGTCCTGAAGGAGCTGATGTGCGTCTGATTCATAAGCTACTCACAAACTTCTTGTATGTATTTGACGTGAAAATACAAGAGAAAATGCGCGTAAATAATGTAGGTCCAAACATACTGATAGTATAAATAGTACAAGTTTAAAAATAATATAAGTTTAACATCACTAAGGTTTTTTATTTTAAAAAAATATGCTTAAAAACTTTAATAACTTTTTAACAGTAATATATATGTTTTTAAATAGCTTTTCATGAATTAGAAAGAGAATCTTAAATAAAATGAAAGAAAAACTAATATAGTTATCTAATTCAATACATGTTGAAATAACTAAGAAAAGTATAAGGTAATAAATTAATGAATTTGTTATAGCGTCACAATTTTCGATTTGTAGCTAGGGATGAGAAAGGTATAAAGGAATATGATTTTGAAAATGAAAAAAGAATTATGAAGTGGACCTTCTTTCACGATATAGGGCATGATTGAGTGGGGAAGGGAATTAGTGAAGAAGCTTCATGGTATGGTTTTGGGGGGTGGGTCAGGTGGATCATTATTATATAACAACCAAATATTTTGAAGGTAGAGAATAAAGACAAGTCTTTTTGAACTACAATAAGATGATGGACCTCCAATTTACATACATCGAAAAAAGATGACTACACTTTAGTTCCCCACCGAGAACCACATAAAAGGAGGCATTCGTGTACTTTTTCCCTTTCCTTCGTAGAGAAGAATTTCTTGATCAGATTAAGAGTGAAATCAATGAAGGTAGGTGTTATATATTCTTAATCCCCTAGTATGTTTAAATATTTAATAACATAGTTTATATTTGCACATAAAAATAAAAAAAATAAAAAAAAATGCAAAATAGTAACAGGAATGGGTGGTGGTGCCTAACGAGGCTGCAGGGGGTTCAACCCAGATCACGTTACGCCAGCTTCTGTCGGACTGTTTCTGCTTCCACAATCTTACTACTCCTCAATTATTTATCAATTATTGTCATTGTTTTATTTGTCTGATTTACAATTCCCAAAGTCCTTTTCTCCACGTGGCTTCTCTTCTGCCTTGCAACGAAGCACTATCCACTTCTCCACTTGCCACGTCCTCTTGTCGCGTCACTCTCCCCAATTTTCAAATCAAACACCCACAAAAAATAACACTATTGAATAATAATGTTGGTAAGTAGTAGCAGTAAGTTTGATACGGTAGCATTAAAATTTAAAAGTGACCCAACCATTGTTTGATTTTAAACATGTTATCGCAAAAAGCGGGACCTCTGGATTTTCTCACCTTTTACTAGCATGGCTTTTTTAACAATAAAGAAAAACAACACTAAAGTCAGTCTTGCAAATCTCTCAACATCCTCAATCTCATAATGCCTAGCGAGAGAGGCAGAGATTTATTTTGACGTGTTGGAACAAAAGTAAACGACAAAAGAAATATAAAAAAGAATGGTAGTAATATTGATTGAATAAGTTTGATCCTGGTGTGGAGCGCAATGGCGTGATATTGGAATAATGGTAATTGATGTTGGATGAATGGCATTGGTGGTGAGTGGTGAGTAATGAAGGTGGAGAGCATAGGCATAGGTAGCAGGGGCAAAGTTGGTAAATAGAAAGAGGATCTGGAGTGTGGAGTATAGGGTAAAGTTGGGAAGTAGTACAACCTGTCAACACCAACTTACAGCCTGGAAAGCCATTCCTACTGTTGAAAATAAAATCCTACGTGGCAACAACTTATTCTGAGTCCTATATATATATATATATATTGTGACTTGTGAGTCCTGTATCCCAAGCTATTAGGTAGGCATTGGAGTGAGTGATGGGAAACTGCAACTCCTCAGATTCAACGCAGGTGGCCACCGCCAAGCTTGTTCTGCAAGACGGCAGGCTGCAGGAGTTTTCCTACCCGGTCAAAGTTTCATTCCTCTTGCAGAAATACCCCGCCTGCTTCATATGCAACTCCGACGAAATGGACTTCCACGACGTCGTTTCCGCAGTCCACGAGGACCACGTCTTGCAACCGGGCCACCTCTATTTCGCGCTTCCCTTGAGCCGCCTCACCCACCCTTTGCAGCCTCACGAGATGGCCGCATTGGCCGTCAAGGCAAGCTCCGCGCTCATGAAAACCGCCCACAAATGCGGTTCTCGCCGCAAACAGATTCTCCTCTCTACCGAGTACCACCCCACCTCCAAGCGCCTCTCGCCGGCGCTCTCTCTCGCCCACGCCACTCTGCATAGGAGAGGGAGGACCTCCGCCGCCAAGGGGAGGTTCGCCGCGCTGTTGAGTTCGATTCCCGAGTAGGGGTAGTTTCGGGACCAAATATACACGCCCGCTCATTTTGTTCTCTTGTATATACACAGCTTGGAAGCAATTAGATTCTTGGAGAGTTGGACTAAGTCGCAATGGATATTCATATTCCCTTTCTATGTCTCTCTCTTTTTTTTTTAAACACTCTTCCGTTTTAGGTTTTGACCGCAAAATACGTTTTTTTAACATCAAAATACGTGTTTTTGAACTCTTTTCATTCATACGAGGAAACATAAGCATGGATGGACATAGCAATTGTCCATGTCCTGTGAAAAAATAATAACTGACTTTGATCATACGCAATTGGATTTGTATTCGTTGCTGTATATGAATTAAACTACTAACGTAGAATTTTGGTTAGAAATTAGTTAAATACATTATACATAGAATGCAGTACTTAAGATAACGAGTGGCGACAAATGTGGAAAGTAGTAGCGGACAGCATAGAAAAGACTAAAGAGAAATAGAGCATGAGGTGAAATTAAAAACCGAGAGAAGGAACTTGGGATGGATGGTGAAATGAGAAAAACGACGACAGATGGGTCTCGGATGGATTACTGAAGGGTTAAATAAAGAGGCCAATTATATGATTGAGTAGGTTGACGAACGTAACCTTATCCTTATCCGATCATCGGGTATTTGTGAAAGGTTAAAATCCAAAGAGAAGGGACAAAGAAATATAATTATGCATGTAAAAGGTTGTTTTCCCCGATTTGGACTTTTCATATGGATCCAATTCGCGCAGGGGTTGACAGTGGAGGCTACTATACTTTGTACAATTAAATTATGGCGAACAATAATTTGATTGAGCGGGGTGAGAGTTGAAGAGAATGGAGAATGGGAGGTACTAGAGGACAAGGCAAGCAAGGAGAAGAAATCTTGGTTGAACCAATGAGATTTCTCCATTTTGTGTGTAAGACTAAAAGGTGTGAGAGAGTGTGGTGGAGAAGCATGGAAGGAGTACAAATGATAGGCCATGGCGGTGGCAATAAAAGGAGTCAGAGAGTGTGCGGGGTTTAGGTGAGTACTATTTGTCTGTGCTGCTGGAATTGTTTACAGCTGTAACAAGCCTGTAGCTGTACGGTGGTAATAATAATACCAAAAATATAACATCAAATTTGGCTTCCACGTCTCATGAGTATGGCTCCTCAAACGAAATGAGATGAGAGTGGCAATTTGCAGTTGCGAGCTGAGACACGAGAACTTGTGTCGGAAATTTGAATAAGGTCAAACAAAATAAGATATGTAAGAAAACAAATTGAAGTTTGGTTTTTCTTAACAAGATGCATGAATTAATTGGATGGAAAGGTGATACATAGAAAGCGTAGCGTGGTGACAATGGGAAATGCGTATCACGTAACACAACACATACCGAACCTGAATGTGGAGTGTTTGGAGCATGGCATATTGTTCTGGGCCATTCTACATTTCTATTTGGGTTAGCTGAAGAGTAATTGAGAGAATGAGGTCCCGGAAGTTTGGTAGATTAATTGCATATTAGGTTGTCACTAATTAATATGACAAGTTTATTGCATAGAGAGTGGAGACTGCTCTGCATTGTACAGCTGTCGTCATGCCATGATTTATGGCTCCCCTACAGTCATGCCCAATCCAATTTAATTTCTAACAAAATATCCGTGCAATCCATCAATTTTTTCAAAACAGATCTACAAATTATAAACTTTTACATATTTTATTTTGAATTTGAATTAACACCTATATATAAAATATATATTGGATGAAAACATTTTTAAATATTTTTTTAATGAGAGAATTTTTAGAATTTTTTAAATTTTATATTTAGTTAATTTGATTTTTATCTATCATAATTATTTATAAATTAAATTTAATATTTTTTAAAATAAATTATCAATAAATAAAAATAATTTTATGCTATAATATTGGACTATTTTGATCTATAATCAAGATCTATTATCTAAGATATTATTTGGTTTAACATTTACGGATTTTATTGAAATTTGTTATTCAAGAAATTATTTGGTAGGCAAGTAAACTATCACAATCGATAATTGAGAAGTGTTACTCGAGATATTATTTGATTTAGTTTCTATATACTTCATGCTATAGGCATGTAAACAAGTGAGTTATCTCGATCTTTAACCAAAATATGTTATTTGCGGAGTTTTTGTAAAAAAAATATTTTTCATAATTGACTGAATTTTAGTACTTAGAATAGCCCGTCATTTTCCTAAATAAAATCTTATATCGTATACTAAGTCTAATCATTAATGACCATGATTGATTATCAAAATATGTTATCCAATATAAAAACAAAATTTCCACAAAATCTCGTGATTTTAAGACCCAAGTAGACATGATAGTTAGGTATAAAATATTTATTTTAAGGCAAAGACAAGCATAATACATTTCTAAATACTTTGGATTTGAACAAATGATTAAATTATCTCTAGTGCATTTTCTATATCAAAATAAATATAAATTATTTATCATAAATCTAAAATATAATTTATATATTCAAACATAATATTTATTTATCATAAATACAAAAATAATCTTATAACTTCATATCTAATTTTGTTTTTGTTTATCATAAATATAAATAATCTTATACTACAACATAAATTATTTATCATAAGTCTAAAATATAATTTATATATTTAAAATTATCTATTTATTTAAATCTTAAGTATAATTTATATGTTTGAACATCATATTTATTTATATTATTTTAAATTTTATTTATATATATTAAACATTGAAATTTTTGGTTAACGATAAAAAAAATGAATGGATAACATGTTGTTTCTTAAGGAAATATAGATAAATAAATTAAATTACTTTTAAAAATATGCTTTGAATTAAAATAAAATAAAATAATTGAAAATACTTGACATTCGCTAAAATTAATATACACAAAATCTAATATAGACACACTCGAAATTGATAAAAAAAAATATGAGAATGTCTAAGTCGATTGTATTTTGTAACTGATAAATTTAAGAAATAAAAGAACTAATAGTGATGAAAATATTAAATATAAAGTTAAAATTAAAATAGATTAAAGGTAAGTGATTTTTAACGGAAAAATCATGTATTGGTGAAAAACGAGGGAATATTTAAAGATATTATCTTAGAAGAATAAAATTCTGATTTATTGTATATAGAGGATATATAAAACTAATCGTATTGAATGTAACATTCAAAATCAGGGGTTCGCTCGTGACCATAACTTTTGAGATTAAATATGTTATTAACATGAGCATTTTTTTTTCTTTCGAGATGGTACCCATGAGAACCCTAAAAATTACCACCAAAGTCTCTAAAAATCATTAATATTAATTACAGTCCACACAATACAACATCCTTTTAAAAAATATATGGGACGTCATGTTAACCAATTCTCTTAAGACATTGTTAAGAATTCAAAAAATAAAAAAGTTTTTATAGAAAAAATATTTCAAAATTGCACTAAACATCATGAAAAATTATGGCATGTAGTTATATGTAGGCATGGCAACGGGCGGGGCGGAGGCGGGTTTTACATTCTCTGCTCCCGCAAATTTAAACCGCCCCCGTCCCGTCGGAGATAAAATCTGGGTTCCCATCCCCGTCCTGGCGGGATTCGGGTTTTCCCGTCCTGCCCCCGCCCCTCGCTTTTGCTCCTATTTTTTTTCTTCTTTTTTTTTTAAATAAATATGAACAATTTAAAAAAAATAAAAAAAGTAAAATAATATAAATTTTTAATATAAATATTTATAATTTTGGTTTATATATATATATAAATAATTTTTTAATTATATTATTAAGCGTGGCGG